TCCTTCCTCAATGCCAGAATGAAGACTCTTCCTAATAGTCCTCAAAAATGATAAGCACGTGAAGTTTAAGGGTTGACCCAATGAACGTGTTCCAATAGAGCCAACCACACTGTATGATTCTGTTCCTGGAGGCTTATTTACTTTAGGGCTCTCCATTTTTCCTAAGTTCAATAGTTACAAATATTCCCTTTTATTTCTTAGCAAATCTGCCACATTAACCACTTTTTGCTCACAATAACAAAATAAAAACAAGATGCTTATTGAACTCAGCTCCACAAAGCTTTGTTTAGACCAATACCAGTTCAAATCAGACTTAATTCTGTTTTCATTACAAGCCTTAATGCAACTTGACAAATAAAACTGTTTTGCCTGTAAACTCTTCAAAATAATGCCTGTTGGATAAATTGTGTAGCTAGGAATTCTTCTTTATTTAATATTTACTATGGTAATGAGTGTTCAGTCTTCATGGGATTGCATAAATCCACAAATCTATGTGCAAAGGAAACTGTATTTGCTAAGAATAATTTTTTTAAAAGGAATAATGTGAAATCAATAGCCAGAAAAATATGGCTGGAATTTTTATTCTGAGTCATCAGCCATTGTGTTAAGGATCCAAAGTTTCTGGTTTATTCTCTATGTGGGCTATTCATTTTAATTTCCATCAAAGACTGTATTCAAAACTGAGTTAGTGGGTGGGTATGAGGTAAACACATAAGATGACAGAATGAGGGTCCATACAAGTCCATCTCTCCATTATGTTTAGTCAAATACTGCATACAAACAATGGCTAGCAATGTAAAAATAAAACTCATTATTCATTTAGGGACAAGTTCTCAGACCACTTGAAATGCTTTCAGGGTGAATTTATCTTTGGGATTATATTCTATTTTTTATCCTGACAATCTACAAATATCAACACTAAATATAGGTTCAGGTAGTCATAACACAGTTCCATTATATAACTATAAGTAATAAAATCAAGAATAAACAATCTAAATGAAGATAAATAATAGAAAGGCTACATTTTCAATCATTAGCTTTCATGTGGCATAAGCACACTGTGCAGCACTCTTGTCTCCCATCCAGGGGGGTTTGGGAAGAGCTGGCTTCTGTTTGTTTGATAAGACATAGCAACAGAACAAGACTGTCTTCTAGCCTGGGCCTTAATGAAAACCTATAAAAGATGCTGAAGGGATAGCTCAGCAGTCAAGAACATATACTGCTCTTCCAGAAGCTCTGAGTTCAGCACCCATATCGGGCAACTTACAACCACCAATAAATCCAGTTAAAAAGGATCTGACATCCTCTTCTGACCTCCACGAGCACTGTACTCACACACACAACACACACACACACACACACACACACACACACACACACACACACACACAATTCCAAAAATGTATTCTTTTAAAGACTCCCATAGAAACCTTGTTAGAAATGTTGGCACCCCTGACACATGGCTGAGCTTGCATGTTAACAGGCTTGAAGCAGTCCTCACAGCTATCTAGTGAAAGAGGACACGGCCTGATTGGGCTCTGAAACTCTGCCATAAGCTCAGTGTATTTACCTGGAAAAAGTTTGAGTGTTCTCACCATTTCTTAACATGCATTAAGAAATGAATGTGGAGAAATTGATGTCAAGGCTATAGAAAATGTTTACTATCCTTAAATTCCCTCAGCACTCCTTGTTTTCAGAAACACACATTAAAAATAGTGTTATTAGGAATAGAATATGAAATCGGCATTATAGGTACTCAATCGAGACAAAATAAAAGTACCTAACGCAACTGGGTCTGGGTTGACAGGACTCTGTTGCCTGGAGTGGCTGGGGTGTCTGCTGCTGCCCTTTTTTAAGTCCTCAGCATCACTGTAGCGCCGGATCCAGTAATTCAGTTCCTCCCGGTCTGCTTCCTGACAGCGTCTGAGTACCGTGAGGGATCGTCTTGTCTTTTCTACCATGTCCATTATGCAGTTTAACAGCTATGTAAAGAACAGGAGGGAAGGAAGGTTACACACATCATCACAAGTTTAAAAAAATGGATGAGTAATGAAACACACTGTTTCAGGCCAATGAAACATGTTTTCTTCCTGTAGGTTTTAGTGTACAATTTTGATGGAAAGATTTGAAAATCAGACCCAATAATTGATCAAACTAAGAAAAAATAGGAGGTATGGATGGAATCGTGACAGATAGCTACTCGTCTAATAGTAGATCTATCTTTCCAAATACAGAGCTCACTAAGCTATAAACTAAGAGACCCTTTCACAACAAAACAGTGGCCTGCTAATCTGTGCTCTACTAAGATCTAATATTTCTCTTAAGCAGCTTTGGAATAAATTTAGAAATCAGATCTTATGTTCTACTTCAAACTTTCACTTTCACTAATTCAAATATCCACACTCAGATTTCCCAAGAATAGAATATGCAATACCTTCAAAGCACTCACAAAAGCTCACCTCACTTGTTTGCAAAACAGTGTTAGCCCAAGAGATTATTGATGTCTTACATGATCAAGATGTTTCCATTCTTCTGCCCATTCTCTATCTGTTAGTCTGTGGTCAATCATTTCTTCTTGACGTGTGCCATGTAACCCTAGAAATGTAAAGAAGAAGGTTTAATTCCCCCCAAATCCTCCAGCACACAGTCAATATCTGCAATCAGCACACAGCATCAATTACAAGAGGTGAAGATGTAATGACTTTGCTAGGAAACCTCACAGATGAGGGCTGGTTATCCACACAGCATTCCTGACCTCTAATGAAGACAAGAAATCTTGTATTTGCAGCAACAAGGAAGGCTGGAGTTAGAGAGTATTCTTAACATTGTGAGGCCCTGGGTTCAATTCCCAGCAATCAATCATCCAACCAACCGATCAGTCGGTCAGTCAATTGATCCAGTATCATATGTGGTTATAGTACATTAAAATGAGGACAGTGTAATGTATTTTAAGTGGGTTGAGCTATTTTTTCCAGAAGAAGATGGTAAAAATTTCACATTTTAGCATAGTGATACGTGAGTACAATCTTACAATACATGTCTTTAATTCCAGTGCCTGGCATGGGGTTGGAGACAGTAGAACTCACTGGCCAGTCAGTATAGACCAACCAGTAGCATCAGGTTCAGTGAGAGAACCTGTGTCCAAAAAGAACTAAGACTGGGATCATTTAAAGAGACCTAGTGCTGATCTTTACACTCCTCGTCCGTGGGAACATACAAATACACAGGAACATGAAAATGTTTACCATGTAAGCACAGATTTTTGCTTTCCCTAATACATGGTCTCACCCTAGTCCAGACTAGCCTACAAATTACAGCTACTCTACCTGACTCAGCCCACCAAATGCTGACATAACAGATGTGAACCTTTACTCCTGGTTTACCACTGACATTAATGATGGGATGTTAGCCAAGATGCTCACAGAACACAGAGACTATGTGTCTCACTGAATGGGCAGAAGGGTCTGATCAGGGGTCATCTTACAGAATCACTGCAGACAAAGCCCTGTACATTCTGTCAAAGAAAGGCGAGTAGTCTATGACATCATTTTCCACTTTAATGGCTGAATCCCTACAGTTGGTTCTTAACAGAAAATCATGGCTGGCAAATCTGGGGCTTCTATACATGAAGGCCCATATTGGAAGGCATTCTGTATGCATCAAATGACCTTAGACTTAGAAGATATTGTGTTCCACTTACTGTGAAATATTAAGTGCTTAGGAATCTTTCTCTGAGTTGATTTAGAGGAAAAAAACAGGTTGAGTCACAAGGCTATTTCATTCATATGTGTGTTTGTGACGGATTGGCTTCAATAAATTCATGACAGTTCTTTCTTAGGATAAAAATGTCAAGTATAATACGTTTTGCATTATTTCTGTACAATTAGAAAATATTCAGAGATACAATTTAAAACTTAAAATTGTCAATGCCACCTATTGGTAAAAAAGGAAAACTACAAATGTTTTACTGATTTGCATAATAGAAAAGACTCAGAGGGAAAGTAATATTTACTTATTGCTCTATTTGTTGTGATTATTTCAAGTTGAAATGTTTGCAAATATGTAATTTTTGTTGACTTATTTGTTGCCTGTGTTTTTAGGGGAAAAATAGCACTCATGTTAAAATTAGTCATCACAGAAAACAACTAGAGAGTGATAAGAATATAAATGTGACAGGGACACTCATGACAGTGGCATCTAGATATTTGCCTGTAAGGATCAAGAATTGTAGAAGTTACAAACATGTCAAGGCTTCATCTCACTAAGTCAATACTGATCCATGTTTTTAATGCCCACAATGATGAATAAGTCACAGGATGTTTGTCATTAATGGCAGCCTAGCATTTGTGGAACAGTGCTGGACATCATCTCTTTAAAAATTAATAATAATAACCATGTTAGAAACATGTTTGATCCTCAGCATTTGGTGAAGAAATACAGGACTGGCTCAACAAATTTGAAGTTTGGAGGTCATTTTTGGTCTAACTGAGTAAGAAAAGGAAAAAATTAAGAAAGTGAAAGTTTACATGTATCAGTATCTCAGCTTCACACATTTAAGTCCCCAACCTCATATGGTTTTGATCATACTGTTACCACAGAAGGATGTAAAGGGGGAAACAGGCATGATGAATAAAAAAGACACTTTTCATTCATGAGATAGTTAGCACTAATGTGGAGACCTAATTTGTTCTTAGCTTCAGAAAATTTTAGATAAATGAGCCCAAATTTTAAGCTTACCAATAAACTAATGCTGCTTTCCAAGTGACTTTATTTAATTATTCTAATGAGTATATGTCCCTACGTGTAAGTGGCATTTATACACCATCCCTTTATGAAGATTTTTCTGCCCTCAAAATGGCATCTTGATATAACACCACAATTTGTTTCTCATACAGATTTTATTTTACATTAATACACACTAAAGTCTGCCAGACTTTAGGGATGGCTAAGTAGTTGCACCTATTTATAGAGATTAGCGCTATTAGTTTTATAAGCTAGTGTAATGAAAAGGCAAGACACATGGTCTAGAGAAAAGAGCATAAAACCAGTGGTTGCAGATATAATTTACAAGGGGACATTTCACATTAATGCATAAAAACATAATCAGTGTACACAAACATAATAACTTCTGTGCTGATTACTCAATGGGTCACAGTAACTAATACTTTACCAAACACCGGTTGTTGCCTGAGAAGGAGACCATTTCTATGCCCATAACTGGACATCACTTGAGCCAGTTTCACAGTGGCTAGGTGACTCCACTGCTATTTAAAAATGAGAAGTCATAGCTGGGTGTGGGGGTGAACACCTTTAATCTTGTCATTTGGGAGTGGTAGAAGCAGGTGGATCTCTGTGACTTTGAGGCCAGTCTGGTTTATGTAGTTAGTTCCAGAGTGGCCAGGACTATGTAGAATCTGTCTCAAAATATAGACAGATAGATAGATAGATAGATAGATAGATAGATAGATAGATAGATAGATAGATAGATAGAAGAAATAGAAATGAACACTTACATTTTCAGGCATTGAGTCATAAATAAATAATACAAGTTTTGCAAAAGAGGCTGCTACTACATCTGATACATAGCTCAAAGTATCAGTCCTGACTGAGAAATAATATGGCCACTTCTAAAGTTTCTTTAGAAATATTACCTGCTTGAATATCAGATTGGCTCTTAAAAAAACCACAAATTTATATGCTTTGTCATTTGTCTGACATACTATATAAATGTAGAAACTGCTGTTGTGGGAACCAGAAGTACTATCAACTGTCTCACAACCAAAGCCTCGGAAATCTCACCTGTCATTCTCCCTCGATTCTTTGCTATACATGAGGAAGGCTATGTGCAGAAAGGCAATCAGACATGACATATGGTAAGTACTGCTTCCTAGTAATCCAGATGAAAATTTCATACCAACTTCTGCATATCAGGTATATACCAGTGAAGAAAACAAAAGCAACTGTCACTAGTTTTCAAGCAGTGGCCAGGTTGTGCACTGTGTTTCCCAGAGTTCTGCATCCTCTGCTTAGTTTTCTGTTTTCCCACCTTCATCCTTTGTATGCAGTCCACCAAATTGCAAATTCCCCATATGAGGTAAGTTTTGCATTAAAGGATGCCTCCTATTGTGTGAGATCCCAAAAGAAGGACAGTAGATTACTGCTCCCAGTGGGACTCAGCAAAAATTAGGAACTAAAGGTAGCCCCAAGAACAGTGTACTTACTAATCTCTTGATGTTACCACCTTAGCCACAGTTACATGTCACAGCTTGCATCAATCATCTTGCCTCTGATGTTGCCATGGTTGACACTAGTTTTTCACAAGGTAATGTCTCCTAAAAGCTTCACTGCCATTAATTTGTGAAATGAAGACATGGATACAGGCAAATAGGATACATATTTGCCCATAGCCACTCCTTCTGTTTTCTGATATTTGATATAAAACTGACCCTAACTCTTATCCCTAGCATTTTTGAATAATGTACCAAAGTATTCCTCAAGGAATACCTCTCAAGTTAGGCTACAAACATGCCATATAATACTTTAGAATTATGGAGTAGTACAGAGAAAGGAAATATAAAAATCAAATTTGACACAAAATTTCAGTGAAAGAAATATTTAAAAAATCTGTGGCTGGATCATATATAAAACCTCATATATTAAGAAAGAATTCAAAGAAAATCCATCCTGCTTTTGAAACTGGAATTAGTGCTTTATACTATATTTGATGCCTTCCTCCCCAAACAAGACGTTAACCTTTCTCTTAAAGTATGCAAGTGATGCCCAGTATAGTGGTGCATGCCTAGGATCCCAAAACTCAAGAGGCAGAGGAACTGCAAGTTTGAGGCCAGCCTGGTTTATGCAACAAGACACTGTCTCAAAGATAATTAATTAGTTAATTAAAATCCAAGTGATTAAAGAAGGGACACTGCATATTAATAGAGTTTCTTCACAAAGGAAACAACATAAAGAGGGGTGTTCAGCTCAGCTCTATCGGATTACAGGTTCAAACACAGTTGAGAAGTAATGGCACAAATCTTCAATCACCCAATCCCCAGAGAAGAAAACAGATCCTCCAGTCTTACCCATAGGTCTAGTTCTGTCCCTGAGGTCCCTGTGGCTGGGGTGTCGGTAGGAGTCCCTGTAGTGGTGAGCAATGGCCATGTCATCCAAACGGTAATGCTGAGGTGGAGGTGGGGTAGGGTGAGGCAGGCCATTTGGCTGGTAGGATAAGCCATTATTTGGACTGTACCGCTGGCCTGGGCTAATAGTGCATGGTCGCTTGCTTGGATGCTCTGAGTGCAAAGGCTCTCTGTCAAAGCCATTTTCTTTGGTTCTGAGGAGGGAAGAAAAAGAATTTTGTTTCATACAGGATTCAACTCAGTTCAGATACTCCAACTTGAGCTTGTGATATCCAAGAGAATACTTCTTCACTGGCCAGGAACTCACAAAACAAAACTTCCCAGAACCCATGATGGGATTCACTAAAACACATGCTCAGCCTGAAAGGTTCATCAGGCTAGGAGCAGGAAATGCCAGATTGTCATCTAGCTAGCAAACACTTTTGCAGCTATAGTTCATGTGATTAAATCGCAAATAAGAAGAAACCTGGTCTCCTTCTAAAATGACACGTTAATCAAAGAAGTGCTTAATTTCTAGAAAACTACCCCAGTAGCTGTTGCAAAACTGGTTCACATCTATAATCCCAGCCCTTGAGAGCCTGAGGCAGGAGGACTGAAAGTTCACAAGGCCAGCCTGCACTACACACTAAAACCCTGTCTCAAAAATAAAACCCAGAGAAAAGACCTATCCTTCAGTGATATTTTATCAGAGTCAAGCATCATTACTATGAAGATGAAAAATATGTACCAATCTATTCCACCTGGCATCTAACTTTTGTCCCCAAGAACACCTGAGAGCTGTATTGTTGGAAATGGCACTTAAAAATATAAGTTAATTCAAATTAAATGAAGATTGAAACTCAATTTCCAGTAGCCACATTTTAGGAGCTCAATAGCCACCAGTGACTAAAGGTTACAGAACTTGATGTCAAAGATACCAAATGTTTCCATAATCTATTTTCATGGAATGATACAACTCAACTCATACAGTAAGTCATTAAGTCTAGAACCCGAACATTTTCTTCAGTAACCAAAAAAAGAAATTAGTCAACAGTCATACAGATAGCTGAGGCTAAAAAGATAATCTAGGTCACCTTTTTCTCCTTATTTTAGAGGTGTGGAGTGGTGTTGGGGATTGAACCCAAGAAATAGACATACAAATTTTCTATCACTAAGTTACACCCTCAGCTCTTGTACCTCCTTGATTTTAAATTTGAGTCAATTCATCCTTAGAGAGTTTGTGTGTCCTGTCTGGGGTTTCAGGGTCTAAAAACAGGACAGGAATACCTTCAAATGAACTTCATCATGTACTATATAGCACTGTGAACTTGACATTCAGGAGAAATGGATTTCATAAATGAAACCAGATCCTAACCACTGCTCCTGGATTTGCAGACACAAGTATGACTAAAGAAACGGGTTCTTGTTGAATAAATCTCTACTACTTAGAGACAACCCAATAAACTCAGTAAGAAAGGCACAAATTGCATCTGACGTTTTTCTGGAAGCAGGGCATTGGTAACATCTATGTTCCCAGAAAGTCACCATATAAAAATCTACCAATTCACACAGGCTACAGAGTGCCATGTGCCTTTTCAATTCCAAGAAGATACAAAGCTATTGAGCCTATTAGACAGTTTTCCTTCTTTCATGGCATTGGTGACAGTCCTTATCTCATTATAGCAAAGGAGGCTTGGGGAAAAAACTCAATCAACAATCAGAGGCAACAGGATGTTACAAGGAACTTCCCATCTCTTCATGAAGGATGGAATCCTGGTGACAATTTATATCCACCAGCCAGAGAAGGATAAAGGGTTGGGCCAAGAGTGCAAGCACCCAAGGAACAAGGGGAAGTCTGCAGAGTTTAATGTGAAAGAGCACATGCCTACTACAAGCTGAAGAAGATGGGAGACTTGGCCAATATTGGAAATGACAGCAGTTCATGGCCACCATGGGAATGGCAGCCAGAAATCTCAATGCTGCTTCCATCAAGCATATGTCTGCACTTAACATACTGACTCCATACATATTGATCACTGGTATCAGACTGAAGTATCCCATATAGCTCAGACATTACCTAAATAATTTTTTAAAGTGGAAAGAAACATTTTAGATATTGATTTATTGTGTCTGTCTCAGTGATTCTAATGTGTACTTTCATATCCTATACATTTTTGAATAATACAGTTTGACATTCAGTACATATTACCAGCATACATCAGTCGGAAAGCAGTGAAGACCATGACGAGCTATGAACATAATGCTAACCCAGCACCTACCTTACTGGCAGTGTGGTGTAGTGGAAAGAGCACGGGACTGGAAGTCAAGAGACCTGAGAGCTAGTCCTGGCTCTTCCACGACTAGCTGTGTGACCTTGGGCAAGTCACTTAACCTCTTTGGACCTCAGTTTGCTCATCTGTAAAATGAAAGGGTTGGACTAGATCAGTGGTTTTCAAACTTTGACACCTAAAGTGCATATGGAATTCTGTAGGCATTGAAGAACTGTCCTGCCAATCAGGATTTAAAGGGCCAGCAAAACCCACTGATTATTCTTACCTGTTTTATAAAATGAGGTTCTGCCTAAGATTTCATTTTTAAAGAAAAAAAATAATCTGCTGCTAAAAATCAAGTTTGAAAACCACTGGACTAGATGACATCTGAGGTCCCTTCTGATTTGAAAACCCACAACTCAATGCCTCTGTTCTAACATTCTAACATAGCCAATGGCATTACTCTAAAGATTAAAGCATCCAGGGGTGGTGGCTTTCTGGACAAGCTTAAGTGTGTAACCCAGCATCGTGTGTCCAGTTTCCTGCTGTTTTACAGCATTTATTATTTGTAGTTGTATGTGTGTATGTGTGGTGTGTGCAGAAATAAAAATATACTCTAAATATTATTAAGCAGTCCCATAGCACTTATATACATCAAAACATCTCTGACACATTGGTGTCACACAAGTACAGCTTGTGGCTTTTGTTTCTCCTTATTTCAATGACATCAACAGCAACAAGTAACAGTGAAAGAACCCTGCCAATTCTCAAATGGATAAATTTACTATCTATCTTCATTTCTGCATGAGCTTTTACTTCAATGACCCAATTACAGGAAACAAAGGCCATCTCCAAGCGCTGAAACATGGGCACAGCTAGGTCATGAGGTTGTCCTCTCTTCAAGGCCCTGCATTCTAGACTGAGTCCCCTCATGCTGAGAACTGGTGAAGCTATAAAGCACATCTCCCTGAGGGGAGTTACAGTTCACAGCTGAGCACTAATAGAGAGCTAGGAAGCTTCCTTGGGTCACCCCTGTCTAGTTATAAAACCCCTCCCTAAGGACATGTATCCAGAATAGTAACTAAAACAACTTAATTGCCATTTGTCTGTCTTAGAAATGAGAATAACCATCTATACCTCATTTGCTTAGGTAAATTCCATATTTGCATTTTTATTTGTTGCCCTTTTCAAAGTGTATTAGGCAAAATTAAATACCCTTTCATTGTCCCAAAACAGCCTCCCCCTTGAAATAACTCTTATCTCCAAAGAAGTCCCCACAACTTGTCTCAGGTCACTGCAAATGGCAGATTTAATTTTGAGTCAACCTCAGAATGCAATGTTCCCCAACCAGACGCTATTACGTGAATGGAAGCTCATCACTCAACACTTAGTCCAAAGCACATATGAGGTTTGACATGGGCCCTGCTGAGACAGTGCCCTTGTCTTCATTACCATTTCTAGTCTCAGAGTCCTGCTCAGGAAAATAGGACAATCAGAAAAAGAAAAAAGAAAAAAAAAGACAAGGAAATAACTAAAAAGGCTAAATATATTCTTTACCTGACTGGGGCTATTATTTTCTTCTATTTCTGCAGTCACAGAGACTATCAACAGATATTTGTAAAAAAAAAAAAAAAAAAAAAAAAAAAAAAAAAAAAAAAAACAAAAATAAAAAAACAAGTAAAATCTACATGAGGGTCTGGAAAGATGGGTTGGTGATTAAGAACATATACTCTTCTTGCAGAAGATTCAAATTTGATTCCTAACACCTATGTCAAGCAGCTCACAACCACCTGTAACTCCAGATCTGATGTCTTGGGCATATGGCATGTGAGCAGATCCATACATATATACATAACTAAAAAATAATAAAATAAATCATTCTAAAAAGTCAATATGAAATATTTATTGAGCCATGATGGACAGTGCATTGACAATCCCTCTGCAGCATATAACAGACTGCACCACTCAGGGAGATGGATGGAAAACAAGGGAAATAAGCTATCATGAAAAGGAGGTGACAGAAAAATCGAGACCAATCTCTTGGATGATGGGAGTGGGTATGGGCTCTTTCCTTTCTCTAGATGTATCTTTTACATTGGGAAGAGTTGTCTGGGGATAGGCAATGCTCCATTGCCCAAGAAACCATAGAATGGTAAGACTTGCCCCAGTGTGGTGGTGCACACCTGTAATCCTAGTACATAGAAACTGATATAAGAAAGTCACCAGTTCAAAGTCAGTCGAGGTTGCAGAGTAAGACCCTGTCTCAAAAAGAAGCAGCAGCTAAAATTCTATATTGTTTCCATAACAGATGGATATATATATCCATAAAGTGCCTTAGATGCCCACTTACTTGGGCTGAGTCAGCATTTTAAACTGAGTGGACTCATCCTGCCTTCTCTTCCTCTCCGTCTTCCTACATTGTTTTTAGAACTCAGCACATGTCTCTGTAGACCCACATTGGGTTGATGGTCTTTAACACAGCACTGCCCCATCCCCTCTGTCTCTAAATGCTTTCATGTCCATCTTGTCTTATCATTGCCACACTGAACCAGCAGCTAAGCACTGCCAGGGCTGTATTTCCAACTTATTGGCTGTTTGTCTCCAAAGCTCTGGTCAACCCTGGACTGTGCCCCTGAGATGAGCTAGAAGGAGACACTGATCTGAAATTCCCTCTGTCAAGCACAAAGACTTCTGCTACCTTTTCTTAAACTTCTTATGTCCACATCTCAATTTTTGAAGGAAAAAATTTTATTACATAAAAGATTAAAGACATTAATAACTCAATATCAAACATATCTTCCCTCTTCTGACATGTGCTGTTTGTCAAGATTTCCATAGCATGACTACACCTTGACTCAAAGGGGGAAAGTCATTTTCAAAGGCTAACTATACAAGATGCCCCTTCATAAATTGTTCAGAAATGGATAATAAGAATTCCACGTCAT